ATTTTATGTTTTTTATTTTTACATGTAAGACCAGCAAGTGACTTTTGAAAATACCTCTGTCAATACTAGATAGATAGATATTAAAATAAATGTAGAAATGCTTATAAATGATTATTTAGTAGGAGTCTTAGTCCACATATCACTAAACGTTAACTTCAATATTTCTGAATGATCAACAGCTTCTCATTTCAGTGGTGGGATCTTTTAAACACATCAAGAAGTGGAATGAGTCAAAGTGACACTTAATATTTGTTTCGAAAACGAAAGTAAGTTACAATATTTGGGTATAGTTTGGTGCAACTGAAGAAATACTACTATCCTCTTACAGAATAAAGTAAGAAGAGGGGCTATAAGTGACGCTTTTTTTCCATGAAGAAATAAAAATTCTTTGCTCTTGCAACTTGGACCCAAGGGATTTCAACTCATCACTTTATGATCATGAATTCACTAACATGCCCACAGCACATCTGTGAAAAATAGACTTTATTACTGTTTTACAGATGAACAGAATTGAGAATGACCATACTGTAAATTGGTAGCAGAAAAGGAATAGAATAGAGACACAAATTTCAAACATACAGTCTGTTCCAGGCAGAATAATAGCTCTCAAAGTTTGCCCACATCCTCATCTTCAGGACCTGTGAATATCTTAGGTTACATGACACAGGAGAATTAAGGTTGCAGATACAATTAAGATTGTTGATCCACTGACCTTAAAATATGGAGAGTAGCCTGGATTATCCAGGTGGGCTCAATATAATCACGAGGATCCTTAAAAGTGGAAGAGGGAAGGCAGAAGAGATCAGAGTGATGTGGTGTGAGCAATGTTTGACCCAATGTTGTTGGATTTTTTAATTGAAGTATAGTTGATTTACAATATTATATTACTTTCAGGTGTACAGCATAGTGATTCAGGATTCTTACAGATTATACTCCATCAAAAGTTATTATAAAATAATGGCTATAATTTCCTGTGCTGTATGATATATCTTTGTTGCTTTTCTATTTTATATGTAGTAGTTCATATCTCTTAATCCCTTGCCCCTGCCGCCTTCCCTTTCCCCTTTGGTAACCACTAGTTTGTTTTCTATATCTGTGAGTCTTTTTCTGTTTTGTGTGTACATATATATACTATATATATATATATATATAGTGTATATATATATATATATATTCATTTGTATTGGTTTTTAGATTTGAAAGTAGAAGAGGAATGTGGGCCCCTCTAGAAGCTGCAAAAAAGCAGGGAAACAGATTCTCCCCTCAGAGCCTCCAGAAAGGAATGCAGCCCTGCCTACAACCTTGACTTTAGCCTAGAGAGACCCACATTGGGCTTCTGACATACAGAACTATAAGATAATAAATTTGTGATGTTTTAAGCCGCCAAGTTTGTGGTAATTTGTTATAGTGGCAATTGAAAACTAATACACAGCTGTTTAATCATTTGAGCCATTACTACAATCATAATCATTTAAAAAAGACTGTAAATAATCAATTTAAGCAACCAGAGGATAACATTTAATTTGGAAATGCAAGTCCATTTTGAAGTAATAAAAGTAGAAGCACACAGATTCCTTTGCATAAAGAAAGATGGAAAAGGAAATATCTAAGAGGAATGCTTTTTTCCTTTTCCACCAGAATACTAGAAGAGAAAGGAGATAAGTAGAAAGAGCACATTGATCTAAAGGATAAGATAAGGTAAGAGTTTTAAAAATGCTGCTTGCAATAGCCTTCCAGGAGAAGTTTGGGAATCTTTGTGCTTAGAGATCTTTAAGGTACACAGTGATCTGTTCTAGGATGGTTTAGATATATATTAGCCTGATGACAAGGGCCTAGACTAGACAATCTCTCATGGCCTCCTCCAGCCTAAATATTCTACACAGACTTGACTCTGTTCCATTCAGTGCCACAATATTTATTACCTATCTACACAATGTAGGTAATCCTGCTATGAATAACCAAATAACCAAATAACCATCCTGCTATGAATAACCAAACATAAAATTTGACTTTAAAAAGTTCACAGTTTAATAGTGAACCAGAGTTAAACAATCAACCATATTTAAGCTAGACAATGAAAAGAATCATAAGGGGTGGATAAGTGATATATTGATTAAAAATCATTAAATATCTAAAAATCAATGCAAAATAACCAATGCATTCTTACTGATTATAAAACAAACAACATCATTGGTCACCACTGCAGATTTCCAGGCATCAATTTATTACGATGAGAATTTATACTGTCTTTCCTAAAACACTAGATAAGAAACGTGAAAAAGTAAATAAAATTCTTTAATGTAGAATTTCAGCTAAAAAATACAGAAGGAATGATAGAATTAGATTCTATCTAGAATGTAAAACTACCAAACTGCCATTTTACCAACTCTGTATAAAATAATACATCTGGGCAGTGAGCATTGATAGATGCTAAAACCATTAAGTGAAAATTTGATGATGAATCTTATAATGGAGGGATCAGGCTGAGGCCACCTAAACACACCAAACTGCTTTAACATCACTAAGTATGACACCAGCCATTATGTACCTCTTCGGGAGTTGTTAGGAAATAAACCATACCATCTATAAAGTATTCTTTCCCCGCAAATGCTTAACCCAAATCTAAATATCTTTCACAGGAAAGTTAGGGATAGAGGAGCCAGTTCAAAAAGACATGGAAGCAGTCAATTAAATACAGAATGTGAACCAGGATGCATAATACAATTTCTCCAGCAAATCAATGACATTTAAAAAGGGAAGGCAGAGAGGATTGTTATGGAATAAAAGAGACTAATGAGACCTAACAGCCAAACCTAACATGTAGAACATATAGGATCCTGATTCAAAAAAGAAACAACTCTAAGAAGGCATTTTTAAAGATCACCAGAGAAATTTAAATATGGACTAGGTATTAAAAACATATTATGGGATTATTGTTATAATGTGATAAAAGCAAGGCATTATTAAAATTATTTCTTATCTATTAGAGGTGCATACTGAGGTGTTCATAAATTTTACAAATATGATATCTAGTTACGCTTTTAAATACCCCTAAAAATAGCGTGTGTGAAGAATACATGGAAAGAGATTAGCAAAACAGTGCTATGTATTTAAGTTGCATCATGAGACATGAGGGTAATTACAGGTTTCCCTCTCCTTATATGTTTGAATTTCTTCATAATAAAAAGTTTTAAGGAATGAAAATAATTGTAAAGAAATAAAAAGGTACCTAGTCTATTTAATCATCACTCATCACTGAATTAGTAAAAGCTTGGTATATCTGTGCTAGAAATTTTCTTTATAGTTTTCTACACATATTTTTCATTAACAATCTGACTTCTATCACTTTAGGATTGAATGCCTTCCACATCATAGGGAAAGGATGTTTACTACTGACCAAATTTGCAATCTATATTACCAGGGATAAAAAATTATCATAGTAAAATATTACTTCTAATGCTCAACAAGTAAAGGAGCAGTAGATCTGTTTCTGCTTGTTTGGGGGTACGTATACAGCTTCCAGTCACTTTTTATAGTGAAGGGTGAATATGGTGGGGAAATATTTGCAAATTTTCAAATTCCTTATGGTTTATATGGTCAAGGTTAGTGTTGTTACATTTGGCAAAGTGCCTAATTCTCAAATTTTGAAGGGTTACAAACTGTAATGTGTCTGCTTTAAAGTGCTTATCTTATGTAAAATTCAGTCCAGACATTTATAATTAATAATGTTACTCTCTTGCCTAATTTTATTTATTTATTTATTTTTTTTTTTTTGCGGTACGCAGGCGTCTCACTGTTGTGGCCTCTCCTGTTGCAGAGCACAGGCTCCGGACGCATAGGCTCAGCAGACATGGCTCACGGGCCTAGCCGCTCCGCGGCATGTGGGATCTTCCCGGACCGGGGCACAAACCCGTGTCCCCTGCATCGGCAGGCGGACTCTCAACCACTGCGCCACCAGGGAAGCCCGCTTGCCTGATTTTAAAGTACAATTGAGACTTCTCTATGAGAACAAAGGGCTGCAGGACAAAATAGATTCATCTTCAACATTGCTACATATATGCATGAATGTCAGATCTGGTCTACAGTAGTTCAAGTTATAGTATTAAACTTTGGAAGTTCACGAAAAGACTGGCCTGATTTTAAAGTACAATTGAGACTTCTCTATGAGAACAAAGGGCTGCAGGACAAAATAGATTCATCTTCAACATTGCTACATATATGCATGAATGTCAGATCTGGTCTACAGTAGTTCAAGTTATAGTATTAAACTTTGGAAGTTCACGAAAAGACTGTTTAGCAATAATCCTAGCAGTGGATCAAAATATAAATCTCAGGCTATTCAGGAAGCCTTTGACAGCATTTTAAATAGATGATCCCTTTTTTAAAAAATGTTATCTTTTAAAAACCTTTTATTTGCAAATTTTTCTGGAGAAGGCTTGAAGGTACCTACATCCTCAAATTACATTTTAATGTGATTAAAAATATTTTCAAAGAAATGTAAAATTTCATAACACAGATACAAACTTTAATCTTTTTGTCTGAAATACCCTAAAAATTTTTAAATGTAACACACTGTCTTTTCTTTTTAAAGGTAGCTTGGCATGAATAGACACCCAGAAAGCTGTAGATGGTATTTTCCACCAGAAGAAAGTAAAGACATAGCAGGGAGGAAAATTAATCCACATAAACAAGCTATGTTACAGAGATTTAAGGTATTTTAGCTAGTTTTTTTCCCTGTGCAAGTTTAGTTATGTGGTCAGGGATTGTAGGTAAAATGGCAATGAAGTTGATTATTTCTGCAGTATAAGCAGGGTATGCATTACATATTTTTTAATGTAAAAAATTGTGCTATGGGTTACAACAATTATGAAGATGTTTTGTAATTATGGCATTTGGTTCGGCTGAGGGTATAGAAAGAATGATGCTTCGAGATTTATGTATCATATAACACCCATTACCTTTTACCTCTTCTTCCTATGCCTGAAACCCAAAGATCTTACCAACCACGGCCTCAGTGTATTTCCCTTCCGCAGGAAGAGGGAAGTACTGGTTTGGTGATAAGTTGCTTCCATAACCCAGGAGAAAACCTTCCAGTTTTACATTAGGATTTGGACGCAGGAACTTCAAGAGGATGGAGTCACTTGTGGTATTGATGTGGACCTTCAGGTTTGGCCTTTTACCTAAAGATGGAAACAAAAATATAGGTGGCTGTTACTTCACCTCTTTAGCATCCAAAGTTACTGGCTAGAGGCATTGTTACTGGCCAGAGGCATTGTTACTGGCCAGAGGCATTGTTACTGGCTAGAGGCATTGTTATTGGAAATCGTGATATCTAGCTACTCAAGATCACAGCACACCCACCAAAACTGCTAAAATACAGGTAATTTTGAGATCAGAGAAAACAGACTTAATAACATATAAAACAAAAGCAGTCTAGAATACAAAGTAAAATCTTAGGGTTTAATATTTTGTAGTTTATTATTAGGCAGGTAAATGGGATTTAAGGCTATCTTGGCTATCCACAGTTGGTCAGAACCTTCATTTTATACATCTTGTCTGGGAATGGTGAAAGGATCTGTAATTTCTTATCGGTAGATTGAATTACTGCACTTTAAAACCCCCAGCCTCCTCAGTGCTGGTCTCCAGCAGTATCCTCGCAGGACTTAGTGATTAACAGAGTTGGAAAGGGAGGGAAGTGGGTGGGTTTTGGCTTAGGGGTAACTGAGACAGTAGAATAAGGGATTCTAAAAGGAGCAGGGCTGAGAAGAAAGATGATTAGTTCCATTTGGAGTTCGCTGGGTCAGTGAGACAACTGACTGTTGTCTCACTGATAGTCAACTTACTGTTGGAAATGTCCAACAGTAAGTTGACTATCTAAGTGTGATGCTCACAAATGGGGTCCAGATCCATCTGGGTGTCTTTAGTTTATAAATGATTATTGGGTGAACTTCCCCAGAGAGACTGCAGAGTAAGCAGAGAAACTATATTTTCAAGGCATTATTATTGTTATTATTATTTAACAATGAAGGCAACAGGGATGGACACTCACACTAACCAAAGGTCTTGACCAAGCAATGAGGAAACAACACTGTCTTTTGTCTTTGGGGCCAGAAGGAGCTGGGTCTAAACTGCAGCTCTGCCATATACTTATAAGTGTGCCCTGGCTGCTCACTAACCTGTGCTTGAGCCCTCTTTCTTGATTTGTAAATTATGGATAACGATATCTACTTTGACAGGTTGTTTACAAAGGTTAGTGCAAATGGCAATATCTTAAAGCTGGTACACAGTAATTGCTCGATAATTGGTTACTTAATCAGGTCCATCCAAAGCCGGTTAGTCACAGTTTAGAAATCCAAAAAAGCTTTGTTAGGTTTTCGTAAGTTCATGTCAAACTAATTTGGCAACAAAACTCAATCTGAACTGTTATGAGGCCACTTAGTCATTCTTTAATCTCACTGAATAGTCAGTGAGACTTATTCACATGTTTAATTATAGGAATCTTTTTTTAATTAATTTTTATGGGAGTATAGTTTCTTTACAATGTTGTGTTAGTTTCTGCTGTTACAACAAAGTGAATGAGTTATCTATCTATCTATCTATCTCCACTCTTTTTAGATTCCCTTCCTATTTAGCTCACCACAGAGCATTGAGTAGAGTTCCCAGTGCTATACAGTAGGTTCTCATTAGTTATCTATTTCATACATAGTAGTGTACATATGTCAGTCCCAATCTCCCAATTCATCCCACCCCCGCTTCCCCCCTTGGTAGCCATAAGTTTGTTTTCTACATCTGTGACTCTATTTCTGCTTTGCAAATAAGTTCATCTGTACCATTTTCCTAGATTCCAATTATAGGAATCTTAATTCCTATACTTAAATGTGCTTAATTAAAGGGTGCTGATCAAGACCTCACTAAATAGGTTACTTAATACATGGTCTAGGCATCCTAGTACATTTCTAAAATCCAAAGATTTTCTGAATTCTAAAGCAAGTCTGGCTCTGAGAGTTTTAGATAAGAGATTGTGGACTTCAATTATTTTCTTTCTTTCTTTCACTGGGAATTCATATTTTAAAAATATTTTACCTATTGGGAAGACTGTATTTACTAACTTAATAATTCAGTCTATTTCTCATTAATCAAAGACTTATATTGTATATATACCAGTCAGGACCTCTAAATAGCATGGGTTTCCCAAAGCTATCACTCTAAATTTATACTATTCCAGTCAAAAGTCATCCTGGGGGACCTCAATATAGCCACATAGAAGAATTCCATTAGGCCTTTGAAGCAATAAAAACAACACGTCTTGGAGACCAGGCTGTGGGAACGACTCTCTTACTTTAGCAGTCAGTACTATTTCCAGGTATGTACATAGTACTTTGTACTTCCCAAGAATTTGATAAAATTTCTATAACTTCTTGGTTCTCTGACTGCTATTGCTATACTTGTGGCAAAAAACCCAGAGACACTGAGCAGCTTATCCAAAAGTCTGAGGGAGACTCATCCCCAGCTCACCTAGTCCAATTCTCTTATAGGACAAATGACTAAATTGAGGGCAGCCACACCTCTATCAGTCTGCAGGTTAAGTTCAGGGTCAAAACCGCATCTTAGGTTCTCGCTAGGCTGGACTTCCTGCTCTCATTTTTATTGAGAACTTTGTCATGACCCAAATGAGTAAGGAGTAGCTAACCCCCATATCGTAATGCTGAAATTGATGCTAACTGATAATGTTTTGTCCTAACTTTATAAGATTTTGATAAGGTGAGATATATATATATATATATATATATATATATCTCACCTTATCAAAATCATAGATAGATAGATAATCTCACATATATAACACAGATTTTGGTCAAGCCAATTTTCCCCTTCTTAGTTATGTGCCTATATTAACCCTACAGTTAATCTAGGGTTAATATTCTGCTACCTTATAAGGTTATCAGCTCTCACAATAAATCAAAAAACAGCTGGCCTGTTTCCAACACCTTGTTAGGAAGAAGAGATTAGGAATCTTCATGAACTTAGGTTGCACTCTTTTTGGGCTAAGAGTCAAGAGTCACAGCATCATCACAGTAGACCTTTGCTCACAGACTGTGGCCTGATGTACCATGTTATTTCCCGCCTTGGAAAGTAGGAAGGATGGCTGTACCAACTGGGAAAAAGGAAGGTTGTAAGGTTGTAAGGAAGGTTGTAAACAGAACTACTGACTAACAAAAGTGGAAGTGTTCTTGCTTCCTCTGCCCAGAATTTTCATGACTCCAGTCTTTCTCCCTTTTGCTAATAATTTATGTCAATAAATATATCAACATCATGTAACTTTCTGAATAAATTAGCATTTATCTGACCTACTTTCTCCAAAATTCCAATTCATACTACTCTCTAGAGCTAAACTTTTAAAAGTCCTGAGAAAGAAAAAAGCACACAAACAAATCTTTTCTCCAAACAGCATCACAAATTTAATAGTATATTGAGACTCTCATCCCAGTTCCTTACTGGATCTAGGAAATCAAATCCCTTTATTTATCTTGCTGCACATGAATTCTGTCTTTTTTAAAAAAAATTTTATTGGAGAATAGTTGATTTACAACATTGTGTTAGTATACTGGAAAGTGAATCAGCTATACATATACATATATCCACTCTTTTTTAGATTCTTTTTCCCATGTAGGCCATTACAGAGTACTGAGTAGAGTTCCCTGTGCTATACAGTAAGTCCTTATTAGTTATCTATTTGTTACTTCTCAACATCGCTCATTTCTCTTTGGCCAGTATAAATCTTCTCACATTCTGCAATGCATACGAGGCCCTGGCCCTACACCTATGCTCACATTGTCACCCAGCATGGATTCCCTCAATATCCCTTTGCTCACTCAGTTATGACCCCACTGACACTTTCAGAGCTCAGCAAAATGGTTAATTTTTTTGTCCTTTTCATCTGAATGAGTTCCTCAAGTGTCCCTTCAAATGAATGTGTGGACTAGTATTCAATTTTACATTCTTAAACAATTTCCCCAATATTTTAAGGTATATCTCAGTGCATCCTATAATAATTTTTCATCTTTGATAAATTTATCTTCACTCCAAGTAATTCTGGCTTAAAGGCCTGGAACACTAGTCATGTAATAACAGTTATCTTTCAACAGTTAGTGCGAAGACCTCAGGTGAATGACTTAAGATAGAGATAATAAAAAAAAGTACATGATACAAGCTTAACTAGGAAAACATTGATAAGTAAAGTGGCATATATATCGCCCAGGAAAGCCCAGGAGTACAGAGAAATAAGATTACTGGAAGAATATTTTATTGCATCCTATATGAGAAACAAAGCCTATACTAATCAAGAGTGAGAGAAAATGAAGAATGTGAGCATTTCAGGAAAGCAATACTAGAACGGCTGAAAAAAAAGATTGCATGTTGGCAAAGTAGAACTTTGGAACCATGACAGTTGTTTCTAATCCTCTGTTTGCAACACCCTAGGGTATCTCTAAATATTTCCAAGGGTGTTGTGAAATTTTAAAAGAAAAAAAAATCCCTTTCAAAACAAAATTAGAAATAATCCCCATTTAATTTTTAAAAGAAAATACATGTCCTGTGGCATTGAAAACAGTGAGGAAGGTAGTGAGATGAGAAAATCAGACAAAAAGTAGAGCGCTACAAGTTCATAGAACCCTCTGGATCAACCAGAGGAGTCAGGTTGCTATTGCTATTGCTATAGGCACAGGTGCTGAGCAGACATTTAATGTTGACCCCAGAATTCTGAGTGCCTGTGGTCAGTGTCAATAAAACTCTGTAAAGAAACATAGCCCAAACACAAGGCACTTAGTTAAGCCAGCTAAACTACCATGGACATCCAGTCACTGATCTGTGAGAAAGGAGTTATCATCACAACCCATTTAGTAGAAGGAATTCTTTCATGTCTAATTTCTCTTCAGGTTATCTTAACACTTTCCAAAATATTTCAGAATGGGGTCTAAATTGCTGATGTGAAGTTGGTCAAGTTGATAAAACCACTTCAATAGAAAAACTGCAAAACACCAAAGTTCTCTTCTAAAAGTAAAAATTATCTATTAGTGTAGTAGCAGTAAATGCCTTAGCCTCTAAGCTCTCAGTGTTGTAAAACAGTAAATAGCAAGTTTGAGAATAATCAGATTAGCAATTATTTCCATAAGATATTAAG